TTGTTACTACTAGTAAGGCACTTGTTTCTACTAGTAAGGCACTTGTTTCTACTAGTAAGGCACTGGTTTCTACTAGGCTTCTTGTTACTAGTAAGGCACTTGTTACTAGTAGCGATGCACTTGTTACTACTAGCGATGGCTGTCCTCTATCTCAGGACCTTCGGCGCTTGGAGTTCGACCCTCCCTGCCTGGGTAAATGGACCTGACGAAGACGCATTTGATCGAAGACCACCGTCGAAGAAGGAGGGATGAAAAAAGGAAGGCAAGGCCTAAAGCTGCCTTGTTCAAGGGGGCTTTACCTTTCTTTTTCCACATCCAATTCACTTGACGTTTCATCTACCTGAGACAGTTTCACATTGGCATGTCTCACGCTGGAAGCACACACGCGCACACATTCCCACAGAACTTCTAAGCGTTTAGCTTTTCCTTTCTTCATTGATTTACCTTTCCTGCATGGCTTTGTCTGGAAACATTTCAAGCAAACCGTGACAAGCCTCGCGCGAGACCTAACCCGGAGCACAGGTGTCCTCATGGACACCTTGATTGTTTCTGAGTGCTTGTTTGGGTGAGCAGGTCTTGAAAAGACATGTTTGACAGATCCATAAAGGTTGGGATTTCGATCTTTGTGAGAAAACGACGGGTTTTTTACACCCCACCGCGGGCTCGTCCTTTTTGCCGCAAACACCTGCGCTGATGCCGACATGGCGCTGTGCAGAGTTTTGGAACCAGAGCCCTCGTGGCTGTCGTGGCTTCAAGCAATCATAGCTGCCATAGCTTCTTCGAGTTCTGACATCTCTTCACGTCTTTTTGAGGTGGATCCAACGATTGAACAACATGTCAACAATCCTTGTATTGAAACTGAGAAACAAACGGAGTTCCCTTGCATTTGTTCGAGAAGGACTCCAGAAGTCTCTGCCATGCCTTTCCGGAAAAATGACAGAGAAGAAGCATCCAACAAGTTGGTGGGTTCGTCTATCAAAAGGTCTGCTGTCAGGCCAATGTGTAGGACATCTGGGATGAACCACACTTCAAACCCCATTGCCCATCCAGGTGCCAGAACTCACCTTTGGTTATTGGAGACTTGCGCTCACCTCCTTATACAGAATCACACGATGGAAAGAAAGAAACAGCGGAAACAATTCCTTTTTGCAGGAACACACTCGTCTTCCACCAATGCTATGCCATCGACGGTCTGCAGAGGGCAACAAACCTGTTTGGTTCCACTACTCTCTGACCACAATCCCTTCATGCTTCTTGTTTCTAATAGCTTCTTGTTACTACTAGTAAGGCACTTTTTACTAGTAGCGATGCACTTGTTTCTAATAGCTTCCTAACGATCTTGGATGATTCTCCTCTGGGCAGCTGTTCTTCAGCTCCCAGTGCCAAACTCGCCAAATGGCCAAGCCGGGTGAACCCGGTATGGGTGATCTGAAACCACAAACGAGAGCTTCTCTGTCACTCGAAAAGGTAAACGGCCTGACACGAAGGCCATACGACGCACACACTGAATGAGGAGCACATTGCGACTTCTATCGAAGTCTCATCCAACCTAATAGCAATGGCCTCCAACCTAGAAGCGACCACATTTGAACTATAGAAGTCTCCAACAATGGTTTGAACAACGCGTACGAATTTCTGACGCGACGTTGCGGCTACGGGATGTTTTCCCTTTCACCTTTTTGAGCGGAGTTTACGCAAGGCAAAACCGCACACATGAACGTGCTACTAGTAACCAGGGCATCGCTACTAGTAACAAGGGCATCGCTACTAGTAACATGGGCATTACTAGTAACAAGAAACTACTAGTAGCTAAGTGTGCTGCTGCGCGTCTCCACATGCTGTCAAGAGAATATCGTGGCCAACGAAAGGATCCCACGATGTGAAGAATGGTCTGAAGACAAACAGGAAACAACAGGATAACACAATTACCGAGGTACTAGTAGTTTCCAAGGTCTCCTAGATGACCTCCAACCTAACACCGATGGCCTCTAACCTAGAAGCGATGGCCTCCAACCTACTAAAAAACAGGTGACTAAGAAAGCAACCGAAAAGAATTTGTTTCTCTCAACAACCTCATGGCGACTCGCCCGATATCCTGCCTCAGCTCCCATGAAAGCGCGAATCGCTGGTGGCCCAGCGCAGGGCCGCGGTTGCTCGAGGAGCTCCGCCTAGGGACGGAACAAACACTTTGTGTTTTTTGACGTTCAATACTTTCCTTTTGGCCTGGGGGTGGGTTGGGCTGTGAGGTAAGCTTATTTGGGTAGGCATTAGCTACCATTGGACTCATGCTTCAAGGACGCTCCCCTTGTGATGGCTGGGGAAGCTTCCTCGAAGAAGCCTGAGCCTTCATGATTTGGTTCCTAGATTGTTGGGTATGATTTAAGCACAATCTTGGAACGAGTGGAAGCACACAAGCAAACTTGTTTAGTAATTCCATCAACCGGATTCTGTTTCCATCAACACGTGAGGGCCGTAGTGTATGAACCGTTGTGTTCGTTGAGTGAATTTCTCGTCTTGATATATTCCAATTTTTTCGAGCTGTCGATCCCTACTGACCCAGCAAAAGCAAAGGTGATGGTAGCCACATGTGGTAGCTGCCTGTGCTTCAGAAGGTAAGAATACAAGAGCAAGGGGTCGAAAGAAAAAGCAATCTAGGAAAATACAACAAAAACAGGACAACAAAGCAAAACAGTTTAAAGAAAACAGAAAAAAGGTCTACAGAAAAGACACATGTCTAAAGAAAACGTGAAACAAGTTTAGAGATAACTAGACGACGGATGGCCCGGGAGCGTGGAAGGACATGTAGAAGAGGGTGTGCGTAAAAGATGCGCGTAAATACATTTAAGTTTTATAGCTGCACTTGCGTGTATGCTATTAGATGCTACAAGTCTACAAGTATATGTGCAGCTCGCACGTTTCAAGAGTTGTTGCTGCGGATGTAGTGAGATGAGACTCACGGACGCCGCGCTCCAATCAAGAATTTACACCAGCGTGCTTTCCTTCCCCCAATGGCACGGACCCAGGCAATCGCACCTTCCACCTGGCCACGCGAACCGCATGGCACAGCGACATCACAGACATAATGGGGCCACACAGTGTGCAACAGACTGGATACAATGTAAAATTAAGCGTTGTGGGCGCCGCCAGTCATCCCGCTCCCCAGGGACACGCCGAATTTACGCCAGCATGTCTTCCTTCCACCAGTTGCACGGACTCACACATGGACTTTCCACCGCAGCAGCGCAAAACTGCATGGTGCAGCGATATCGCGGACGTAGTTTGGACACATCCTGTGCTGCTTTCGCACTACAAAGCTACCACTTCTGAGGCCACAGCTGGTAGAATTGTCTTCCCACGCGCATTTGTACTACCAAGTTCCCAGTTCTGCTGCCACGGCTCCTAGAAGCTGCTGCCCTGGATCTCGTACTACGTTTGCCAAGTGGGTAGTTCTCAATTTAAGCCACCTCCCACAAGCTGCTTCCTGCGCTACATTTAATACTCCCAAGTGGCAAGTTCTGACGCCACAGCTCCTAGAAGCTTCTTCCCCCGCTATATTTGTGCTACCAAGTTCCCAATTCGACGACAGTTACACACTTTGGCAACTTCCGGCACCATTTCCGATGACAGTTGCACACTCCGTCAATTAAATTCGCATTTCATTTCACGTTTGAGCATTCCAAATGCACTATCTCCGAAGAGGGTTGACCGCGCTGACGCGAAAATTGAATATACCCTCACGTTTGAGCGCTCGACATGCAGGATTTCCGAAGAGGGCGCTTCACGTTTGAGCGCGCTTTTGGGTCTGGGCGGCCAGCACAGTGACAATCGGCGCGCGTGCTTGTGCAACTGGAGATTGAGCCGCAATGCCTACTACCTGGGGGGTCAATTAGCGTGCTGACAGCTAGGAAGCGGGTCATTTCTTTAAATTCATGGTGTCATTTCCCAACAAATGACAGTGTTGGTGTGATTGCTGTTATAAAGTAAGCGCTTTTTCCGTGCTCATTGGGTCTGCAGGAGTTCAATCGTTTACAAAAGAAATGCTCAATGGTCCAGAAAGTAACCCGGCGCGCCGGGCGCAAACAGTTTCAAGATTGGCTATGTTCGGCTATTTGTGGCTTCTTATTCACGGAGGCCGCTCTAAACGGCGCATACTTGTAGGATCCGGCGCGATCTAGGCAGCTAGAGACCAAAAGGGGCGCTCGCAGATATCGCCGGGCACTGCTAACCCTGGCCGATGCGTAGGATGCTTCACAGGGAAACAATGGGATATCGGGCGGTACTATTCGTTGCTTGTCTATCTGTGGGGAAACTGCGCTACGGGCATATGTCTATATAAATAAATAAATAAATATATATGTATATATATATATATATTTGGGAAGAGTTGCTGGTGGCCATATTCATGGCCAAGGTTAAAGAGAGTAGCGCCGGGCGCTCCCATCCAACGATAGTAGCACCGGGCGCGCCAGGCGCTGCCGTCCAAAGATAGTAACGCCCTCCAAAGATACACGCCAGGCGCTAGCAATCATTAAAGATGGGCTCTTGGTGATTTTCTAGGCGGCTAGAGATCAAAAAGGGGGCCACAAAGTTAGTGATGGCACTCCATGGCACTACTATTTATTGCGTATTTGTGGACAGTGCGCTACCGGCTGACACATAGGATGCTTCACTGGCGACAGATGGGGGTACCACAGCCGGTGTTGGACGCTACAATGTATTGCTCATCAATTTCTGGACACTCTGCTTCAGGCAAAGATATATGGGATGCGTAGCCCCTCGCGCTGCCATCAAAAGATCGTCACGCCCGGCGCTGCCATCAAAAGACAGTAACACCCTGCAGCTGCTTCATGATGGATAGGCCAAGAGGCGACGAGGTCCTAAACTAATATAATATGAAACATTTTGTGGTGTCACGCAAAGGTGTTCATTCCAGAAGCTAATGTCGAGCTTACGGCCGCTGGCTTTCAAACTTGATGGTTTTTCCTTTTCCCAGCAGTGGCTTTCATATCCAATGGTCACAACTCCTGGTAGCTCTAAAGAAGCAAAAATATTTTTGTTGAGTACACCGCAAGAGGTCATGCACACACTTCCAGAAATAATGTCGAGCTTACGGCCAGCGGCCGTAAGCTCGACAGTAAAACGGGGTGGCCCAACATAAGCAAAATCTAGGCGTCGGAAGTCAGTGTTGAGCTTACGGCCAGCGGTAAGCACGGCGATATTTTTCTGACATGAACACCTTTGCGTAACACCCGACAATTTTTTTCATATTAGCTCAGAACCTCGTCGCCTCTTGGCATATCAATCATGAAGCGGCTGCCGGTGTTGCTATCTTTTGATGGCAGCGCCCGGCGCGCCGGGCATGACTATTTTTTGATGGCAATGGCAGCACCTGCTGCGCCGGGCGTGACAATCTGTTGGTGGCCGCGCCCGGCGCGCCTGGCGTGACAATCTCTTGATGGCAACGCCCAGCACGCCGGGCGTGACTATCTCTTGAGGGCAGCGCCCGGCGTGCCGGGCGTGACCATTTTGTGACGGCAGCTCCCGGCGCGCCGGGCGTGACTATGTTTTGATGGCGCCCAGCGCGCCGGGCGTGACAATCTTTCGACGGCAGCGCGAGGGGCTACGCATCCCATATATCTTTGCCTGAAGCAGAGTGTCCAGAAATTGATGAGCAATACATTGTAGCATCCAACACCGGCTGTGGTACCCCCATCTGTCGCCAGTGAAGCATCCTATGTGTCAGCCGGTAGCGCACTGTCCACAAATACGCAATAAATAGTAGCGCCATGGAGTGCCATCACTAACTTTGCGGGCACCTTTGGATCTCTAGCCGCCTAGAAAATCATCGAACTAATAGCCCATCTTTAATGATTGCTAGCCCCCGGCGTGCCGGGCGTTACTATCTTTGGACGGCAGCGCCTGGCGCGCCGGGTGCTACTATCGTTGGATGGCAGCGCCGGGCTACTATCTTGAACCTTGTCCATGAATAGTCACCAGCAACATCCGGAGCACCTGGCAACGTACCTTGATTGTGCTGTTGCATGTTGTTGCTGAGGCACCCTGATGGCGAGGGTTAGGCTAGACAGTCGAAATCATTGGCCACCGTGCTCCACCTTCCCTTGAACTCCCTGGACCTAAGAGTTGTGCCATTTCTGATTTGTTATTCCAAAAAAGTAAGGAGCTGACAGTATGTCCTCCTCAATTTCATTCTAAGGTGGTAGGGATGCGCCGCGGCCCGCCGATGGACATGCGACGTGGGCACTGCTGCCGATCCACTGACACGTCGTTTAGCATGGGGACATACCGAGGTAACCTTGCACCTTGCCGCTGTGCGGCGGGACGTGCTCGCTGCCCGGTACTCTAGCTAAGGTCACTCGTGCCTTCACTTAGGCGTATGCCTCGGCTGCTTTGACGGTGGCTGGTGGGCTGCGCCGTGGTCTACTCCTACTACTACATTTGGCAGTGTAAACGTCCATGTGTTTGTCTCCGGCCGACTGGCCGAAGTACACATCCTGTGGCGTAAATTCGGGAGTTCCGGCACATCTATGGGTGATCACTTCGAAGCTGATGCCGAAGTCTGCAAGCTTCAATGTTGCGACCGGGCTCCTGTCGGATAGCCTTGACTGCGAAGCTGTTTGAGAAACCAAGGTCGTAAGACGGAAACAAAAAGAGTTTGTTTAAACTTGATTTTGATCGCTGCCTTGCAGAAGCTTAATCGACATGCGCGATCCCCGCAAAGGGTTCATGAGCCCAGCTGGAATTCGCATTTCGCCTCACGTTTGAGCACTTGACACGCACCATGTCCGCAGAGGGTTCATCCAGCACAGCCGGAATTCGCATTTCGCCTCGCCTCGCCTTTGAGCACTCGACACGCACGATCTCGGCAGAGGGTAACCTTTTGCAAGCCCTGTCCGGCCAGGCCCCCACCTAAGAGAGAATAGATAAATAGCCGAGATGTGTCAGCCACGCGCGAACAAACATATGTTTCACTCTGTGGTCATATATGTTTACCTCTAAATTTATGTTTACTGAAGCAAGACCCCAGCGAAAGTTATACTTGATTTTGAACATGAAGTTGCTTAAGCAAGATCAAAGCGCAAGTTATCCAAGCAACGTCCCAGCACCAGAGCAATGCTAGCGTAGCTGCAGATCTACACAATCATACCTGCGAGAGCCGCAAATTTACTTCTAGCATACATACAAATGCAGCTGTACAAGTCCCAAATGTATTGATGCACATGTGTATATCTACAGAAGAACCCTTCGCAACGCTCCCAGGGAAAACAATAAAGGCAGGTCAAAACACGCAAATCCAAAAAAAAGCGATTCCCTGAATGAATCCCTTGAATCCCTGTCTCGCGTCGTTACCAGCCTCCTTTCCGTTGGCCTTTGCCTTTCTTGGCTCGTCGCGGGCTGGGCAAGCCGCGCAACCTGCTTTTGTTGCGCACGTGTTGTGCTCTTTGGGTGCATCAATGACACACGGTCTACTGTTTGGATTTGACAAATGCCCACCTCTTTTGGCGACAGAGGCGTTGAACTAGCTAGAGTGGGACATGTTCTCCTGCATCATGACTGGAGTTTGGGGGAACCTACGCTATGAAAACAATCCAAGCAAACTTGAGCTTTTCAATGTATATCCAGAGATACTCCGAGCATTTCTGAGATTGTAACTAGATCGTCGGATCCAGGACGCAACCCGAAAGCCCAATGATCCGGCTTGGTCTGCCTGCGTGACCAAGTACTCTCTTGGAACACTGTTGAGGGGCCCATCTTCATCAATTTCCTTTTGGACCTTACTACTAGGAACAAAGGGCATCGCTACTAGGAACAAGGACGCTACTAGGGGCTCCAGGCGTCGCTACTAGGAGCAAGAAGCTACTAGGAACAAAGAAGCCGTGAAGTACGACCTTTCTTCATCCTTTTCCTTTTGGATCCTTAGACCTTTAGACTCTTTCTTTACGTTGGAGGCCAGTACTACCAGTAGCTAGAAGCTACTAGGTTGGAGGCCATTGCTATTCGGTTGGAGGCCATCGGAAGCAGGCAGGGGGAGCTTCCTTGAAGCGTGAGCTATGCTGCATCCTAGGTAGGAGCGTTCTTATAACTACCTTTTCCTGTTCCTAGGTAGGCACTTGCTTCTAATAGCGAACCTTGTTACTACTAGTAAGGCACTTGTTCCTAGTAGCGTGGCACTTGTTACTACGTTTGCTACAGTTTGCTACCTCTTCTCGGCCCACCCCTCCCCCTGCTAGTAGGAACAAGTGCATCGCTAGTAGTAACAAGTGCCTTACTAGTAGTAACTAGAAGCTATTAATTTAATCTAATTTTAATTCTAATAGCTTTTTGTTACTACTAGTAAGGCACTTGTTACTAGTAGCGGAGTTTGTAGCTAGGGAGAGGTAGCCTACCCCTCCCCCCGGGCTTGTCTTTTTGCTCTTCCGGGCCTGGAGGCTCCACTCACCGACTCGAAGTACCTGTCTCGAGGTCTGGTCGCTTTCGGCAATCCCGAGTCACAAAGGTACAAAACATGTTTACTTTCTATACTGAGGATTAGTGATCATTTCAATCAGGAAACATGTAAAGTGGCCATAGGAGGTGAACATTGAGATGATGGCCTGTGAGGCCAAATAAACAAAAACACCATACTATATATATATATATATTTGTACAAACAACAGTAAATATAAGCGGTTGACAAAACCTATAGGCACATAATTATATCCCCACATATTTCTTTAAAGGGATGTCCCATATCGCTCTACAGTGTTTCGAATACCGCTATTGCTTTTCAAAACTTTTAAGCGAAACATAAAACATATACAGCAGTATAACTAAAACATCATACATGAAACACACACACAGACATACATATATTGATCAACATCCATTTTTCTAACAGATTTGCAACAAATTTCACAAATAATACGAACACAAACCCAATCATAAACACCAATCATTTTTTGACCTTCAATTTTTGGATATCCAATCTCTACAATACATTTTGCATTTTGTAATGAAATAATCACTATCACTATTTGGCCACACATAGTTCTAAACCCGAATTATATAAAATTACATTATGAAAATACCATTAAATATCTTTGATAAACAACATTGGTTATCCAAAGTTTAAGGATGCATTTCAATAGTCTCATCAAAACTATTTCCCCAATAGCCATGCTATGGGGTCTTGCAAAACTAATAGGCGGACGGGTGCCGTCGGGTCACCGTCCGAGCTGGTGGGCGGATGGTGTCCCGGTCATGTTTTGATGGCGTCCGGGTCATGTGATGCTGGTGTCCCGGTGTCCCGATCATGTTTTGATTGTGACTCAATCATGTTGTGATGGTGTCCCGGTCCTGTTTTGACGGTGTCCCGGTCATGTTGTGATGGTGTCCCGGTCATGTTGTGATGGTGTCCCGGTCATGTTGTGATGGTGTCCCGGGCATGTTTTGATGGTGTCCCGGTCGTGTTGTGACGGTGTCCCGGTCATGTTTTGATGGTGTCTCGATCATGTGATGGTGGCGCGGTCATGTTGTGATGGTGTCCCGATCATGTTTTGATTGTGTCCCAGTCATGTTGTGATGGTGTCCCGGTCCTGTTTTGATGGTGTCCCGGTCATGTTTTGATGGTGTCCCGGTCATGTTGTGATGGTGTCCCGGTCATGTTTTGATGGTGTCCCGGTCGTGTTGTGACGGTGTCCCGGTCATGTTTGATGGTGTCCCGGTCCTGTTGTGATGGTGTCCTGGTCATGTTTTGGCGGTGTGCCGGTTATGTTTTGATGGTGTCCGGGTCATGTGACGGTGTCCCGGTCATGTTGTGATGGTGTCCTGGTCATCTTGTGATGGTTTTCCCGTCATGTCATGTTGGTGTCCCGGTCACCTTGTGATGGTGTCCCGGTCATGTTGTGATTGTGTCCCAGTCATGTTGTGACGGTGTCCCAGTCATGTTGTGATGGTGTCTCGCTCATGTTGTGACGGTGTCCCGGTCATGTTTTGATGGTGTCCCGGTCATGTTGTGATGGTGTCCCGGTCATGTTGTGATGGTGTCCCCGTCATGTCATGCTGGTGTCCCGGTCACCTTGTGATGGTGTCCCGTTTATGTTGTGATGGTGTCCCAATCATGTTGTGACGGTGTCTCGGTTATGTTTTGATGAAGGAAGAGATGGTCGATGTGTTGAAAACAGCAGCTGTTTCCAGATTTTTCTTTTTGTCCCGGTTTGTATCTTGCTATTGGGGTCTCCAGCTGGGCTAATTCCTCAAAACGAACAAGTATTACTTTAATCATTGATGATTAATATATATAGTTATCAAACTCTTGACATTTTTCTTCCACGATAAGTTCAAATGTGTATTCATGTATGTATAAAGGTTCAACCAAATTTGAAAAGGACAATGATTGATCTGACAAAACAGTTCAGCGGTTGCATTGTGTATATATATATATACTGACTATTAATACTATTAATGTAATGCAATTCTATTATTGCATATGATGAATATATCTTTAAAGAATGAACTGTGCCACAATCAACACCGTTTTGAAGCACATCAACAGCTGGTTTCAACAAAAATGAGCATGCCATTTGATCTTGTGAACTTTGGAGAACATATTTTGGTTAGTATCGGGTCTGTTCTGAATAGCAACACATGGCACTGTTTTGGTAAAGGATCACCATTCTATCTGTGTGGAAGGTTTTACAAAACCGAAGAGTCTGTTGCATTACATTTGCATTTTCGATATACTAAGCACATATTCTTTGGTTGCCTATAATTGCACTGAACATCAAACGCACTTCAAGATGGCAGGTCATCTTCCCTACCAAAAGATTGTGAGTAAAAGGTCCTCATACTGACAAACGTTTCTTTCACGTTCTCGCAGTGATAGGTTTGGCCGTCAAGTTCTGCACTTGCTCAAAGCAAATCTAGAAGGCTTCTACGTCCCCAGAGGCTTCAGCTGTGTATTATATAGGGCTTGGACTACTCTCTACTTTCTACTCTGGGTATTTCATGAGTGACCGAGTATCTTTTCTTAGATTGGCACATGTGTGGCTCAAACAATCAAACACAAACAAAGAAGGCAAGACATCACCCGCAGCTTGGCTTCCGAAAGAAAGAACTTCGACTCCTTCGGATGGTCACAGGGAAGAGCCAATCACTCTTCTGGAACTACTGACTTTGCTTTCGGGACACCCAAACACCAATCTTCAATATTCCATAGGCATAAGCAGTTAAAGCCATACCCACATGCTTAAGCTTTTCAGTGTCTGAGATACTGCTTCAACCGCATCGAGATCAAAGGCTTGCTGTACGAGCTCCCATTCGAAGTAGCACCTTGGTCAGTCCAAACGATTGGCAGTTGGGTTGAAGAAAAGGGCAGGCTTGAATCTAGCATGAACAAGTGAAAGATCCTCCATTCATCCTTTGCACACAAAAGACATACTTACTGCTGCCTCTAAAATGCCTTGATATAGATGAAAGGACACTTATCGGAGGACCACAGCACAGTGATGGAAACCCGAAACAGTTCTGAAGAGGTGGAAGGATATTGTCTGGCTAGTAGTAACAAGAAGCTAGTAGTAACAAGTGCCACGCTAGTAGTAACAAGTGCCTTCCTAGTAGTAACAAGGTTCGCTATTAATTTAAATTTGATTCTAATAGCTTTTTGCGTCCGAACGCTCCTAGTAGCGATGCACTTGTTTCTAATAGCGAACCTTGTTACTACTAGTAAGGCACGTGTTACTAGAAGCGATGCACTTGTTACTAGTAGCAAGGCCATATTACTAGCAAGAAACTACTAGTAGCGATGGCCTTCAACCTTCTAGCAATGGCCTGCAGCCTAGTAGCTTCTAGTAGCAAGGTGCCTTGGTGCCTGTACCATCCTTTTCTCATATCCAACTATAAGTGTACATATGTACATATATATATATATAAGCACAGCCGTCGGTCATTTTTTCACGCGTTGCAGCAGGTTTGTCCAAGAACAGAGCACCATCGGTGCATGAAAACACAAATTCTCCTCTTCGGGGCCCCGACACAGGTGAGTGCCCCCCAGTGCCCCCCAGGACTGCATCCGCCATACCGGAGCCCCCTGGGCCCGAACACTTAAGAGGAAGTCTCTTTTTGGGGTATCAGCCCACTACCCCTTTCATGCAGAAAAAAGACTCTTTTACTAGCTCTTCCACGTCCCCCTGACCTGGGCGCCTTGGGGCCCAGGCTCAAGGATCGGGTTCTGGAGGTAAAAACTTGCATAGGTCCGCAAACGCGAATTAGGAACCTGCATCTCAGACAACTGTGCGAGCCCTTCGTTCAGGTATATTCGGGCGGTTTTCGCTGCTGCCCACCGTCCTTGGAGCAGCAGCTTATCGAAGCTTCCGTGGTGTTGGAAGAAAAAAGTGGCGCCCCCGCGCCGTAACGAGTACGGACGCAGGCCCAGTGCGGCCAACTGAAGGCCCGCAATGGCTTGGTTAAAAGTCTTGCGCCAAACATGGGGTTTCGAAGTCAAGAAAGCGTTAGCTGAGCTCCGGCGCTTCCAACTATACAACGATGGCAGCACGGAAGTGTCTACTATCGTGACGCTTTCACTGGCCCCCTGACGGGCTCCTGACTTAGTTAGGCCAAGCGAGACAACCGCGGGTCCCTTTGGGCTGGAGATGTAAACATCTTTCGAGGTCAAGCTTAAAAGTTCGCCAGTTCTCAACAGCCCAAAGAACGCAACTCTCAGAGACAGGGCGAAGTCAGGAAGTCCTTGCATCACCGCCCAGCCGCAAAGCGCATCCAGCAACCCAATCGTCATTGGAGGAGCCCTGACAGGGATCTCCGCTGTCGACCAAGCTTTCAACAACCGCCAACTTCCTGGAAGCTTGCGGCGTAAGTTTGGGTCAAAATCCTGAAGCGCGGCAAGGGCGTTGTTTGCCTCAGATTTGCTATGCCCATCTGCCCACAAGTACTCTAAGTAGTCGCTGACCAAATTGTCCATTTGTGCAACACGTACGTGGTTGTACTGTCAAATCTTTCAACTTGCCAAGTTTTTGCCTTACGGCTTTCCGCTGCTGCTGACTGCGACCTTCTACTACTTTTGGTGCTTTCTTACCCATTTGCGATGGAGAGGCCGGCGGGACGGCTTGTCCGCCGGGTTCTGGTGTGTATCAATGTACCCCCAGGTACCTTGAAGGCCGCTGGCCAACAGCATAGCGGATATCTTGGCAAGAGATCTCCTGAGCTTTCTTGAGCTGGATCTTCCACGCGAGAGGGCATGTAGTACAACCAATGAATCAACGAGGTGTAGAAACCGAGCACGATGCTCCTTCAACTCCCTGATGTGCCAAGCCAATGAGGTCTTGACGGCTCGGAGCTCGAGTACGTTGATATGTTCGGGATCTCCTGTCCAGCGCCAGCCTGCCACCTCACGCCAACGCCATAGCTTGCCTGGGATAGATGCACGCAACCGGTGGTATCGGGCCGGAATGTCCGTCCCCATCTGAAGCAACAAGTCCTCGCCCTTGACAGAGATTTGTCCAAGGAGTTTGCGCGCAAGACCTGGCCCGGAAGATCCTGCCTGGGTGGTTCGACGCAACGGCGGCCGCAACAGGAGACTTGGGAGGTGGTCTTCCTCCCCTGGAGTCAGTCTTCTCACCAGCTCCTGAACACTCACGGGTTCAACGAAACCCAGCATGCAGAAGAGAGAGTGCAGTAGGTAACAGACCACCGGAACCGACCACGTATTACCTAGCAGCGTCAGGCGGCAGTCATTCCAGGCAGATGTGCCCTGCTGCCCTTTAGGATAGCACTTTGCTGTATAGTCCAAAGGAAAGCCAAGGATACACTCACGCTCTCGAACATTTGGAACACGCTTCACAACCCCATTGGTGACACAATTGACTGCTTTGTATTGGTAAGGCGGGAAGCGATGAGCGTCCTCCTTCCAACGAGTCAAGTCCTCCTCGGTACACAAATCCAGCCCTGCGGGCTTTCGGCCAGGTTTGACAGATGGTCGAGAAGTGGTAAAGGTCGGAAAAACCTGGGTAGCCTCAACTCTGCGCCAACCTGCTTCCAAGAAGTCCTTCTCCTCTACTTCTGCCTGCAACTGCAACCTACCAGCCACGGGCAAGCGCTGATGTTCATCAACAACCTTGACAGTCCAAGGGCTCCCAGTTAAACCAGTAGAGTCTAGGCCTGCGGGCTAAGCTAATGCCACCTGCGTCAACAAGCCATGGGCGCCCCTCATACGCCTCATTCATAACTTCGCAGTCATTGACATCCATCGAAGCCACGTTTTCCGCAAGCCGAAAAACCGGACACCACCGGAAAAACCGACGCAGCAGCAACTCCACCCGTGGGACATGTGAGAGCAAGCTTGATCTAGCGTCACGCAATGCACCCTTTCGGTCACTGTTTAACCCCGAGACTCCCTGACACGGGGGTCCCGCTCCCAGGATGACAGCGCTCACTCCGGGGTACAGGAGACACCAACTGCTGACCTCGTTCTCATCGATGTCCTTGACGTCCACGATGTGCCTAACCTCCGGGAACCAACTTTCAACGACTCTTCGAGCGTCTTCTGAGATCTCCGCCGACACATAGCCGGCCACAGGGACATGGAGAGCATCAATGGCCACGCGCAACGCGCCAATGCCATCAAACAACGACACCACTAGCACCGGTTCAACGTCATCTTGGGAGAGGATGTCTCCCCTTGCATGCGCTTGGGCTGCCGAGACCCCATAGGGCGACAACTCTCTACTTACGCATAACCCACCGCCTGTGGTCGATGCATCGCTCGCCGTGACACACTCAGAGATCTTGGTGCGAAATTCCATGAAGGCTAAAGGGGTCAAAGCAATGAATCTCAACAGTTCCAACCCGACATGTTCGCCTAGGGCTTCACGCTTCCTTCCACAGCTCCCCAGCTCTATGATGCGCCTCCACAGTGCATTCAACCCAGCAAGGAGTGGTCGCCGGAACATAGCAATGTATACAAAACCTCCTCCTACTATCTGTAGCTCCTTCTGTGATGCGCACCCTCGGATCAACAGCTCACAGGCCAGCCTCACGTACTTGACCACCTTTGAACCTTTAGGCGAAGCGGTGCCTGCCTCGCCATCAAGCCATGCTCCCTGAACCTCCACCTTGACCTCTTGAGTGACTGCCTTCTTTGGATGCCTGGGCAGTCCCAAGTCCTCATAGGTCTGCCGCGCTGCTAAGGTCCACGCTGAGGGTTCGCCTGCCAGAGCCTCTGCCAGCCTACGGTCAACCTTGCGCAACTCATCATAGTTGTCCAAATACACCCGGTACAAGTGATCAGAGGCGGAAAACCCTCGGTCCCTACGGAGCTCCTGGTGTCCTGACGCCAATGCCTTCTCACCTCTGGGTGTACATGCTGAGCAATTGCGACCGAATTGATGAACCCCATGGGCAACACCTGGGTTACCAGGTGCCACCCTGTCCCACTGCAAGACGCTGGGAGGGCCTCCTGGGGCACCTCCCTTGCAAACCCCATATACTTCCACCAGGAAGTTGGGGTACGGAACAGGTAAAAGAAGCAACGAATGTCTTCAGATGAGGTTATTAAAAGCTGGCTATCTTCAAGGACCACTGCAGACATTCCCACAACACTTGGTAGAGTGGAAGTGTCTCCGACCAAGCTTCTACAACAGCTATTGGTTGGTACTAAGTTCATAATGAGACGGCAAACCTCGAACGGGTTACCATCTGCATCCATAGCTGTCTCCTGCTTACTTGCGGCAAACAGTCCATTCAGTAAGGGTCGCCCATTGACATGGTGGAGTTCTGAAACATGCATCACCCGACACACCCCACGGCTCAACAGCCCCGAGCAGACCTCCGCCCAGTGGCGCTGCTCGACCATGATGGCTGGGGTGCGCCCCAAGTGCTGGTCCTGAGGCGGCATCAAGAAGTTTTCGAACTCCCGCACGTAGTTGAGGGTCCCCCCATCACAGAAACTCTCCAACTCTAATGACCCTACAGCGTGCGGCATGGCTGCCTCAATCATCTTCCACTGAAAAGACCGGGCCACCTGAACCTCTTCACCAGAATAATCCACGCTTTTGGATTGGAAAAGTTGATGAAAGTCCAATTGGGGCAATTTCTCCTCCAACAAACTTGAAGTCTGCACCACCTGGTTTAACCTGTCAGTCAACGTTCTTCGAATACCTTCTTCTTTGGCACGTGTCTTGGTTTTGGTTCCATACAACAAATTCAATGCACGAATCAATGCGTCCGAGTTGGGCGTTCTCTGTCCATGTAGTCCCAAGTCACTACCAAGCGGCAAGGGGAACAAGTCCCCCTTGGGCTGGCTGCAACGCTCTAATCTAGTTTCAACCACTGCCAATGCTCGAGACAATACGGGGCCCAACCCGGCAAATTCCATCTCCTTTTTTCGACAACACGCTTCAAGTGCTGCACGGCACGGCTCAAAGGCCAGTCGCCAGCCCGCTGCATTGTCTCCTGAGGTCGTCTCACGACGGTTCACTCGACTTGAGCCCCCGTCACAAGCTTGGGAGGAAGTGTCTGCAAGCGCCTCCCTTTCAAAAACCATAGTCTCCTCTGATGTAGGCAACCCCCAATGCTCTGCAACTCGATTTTGACACTGGGAGCTCACCAGAGGCCTCTTGCACAAATTCAACTCCCCTTCAATCGTGTCCAGCGCGGCCTTCTCGGCCTCTAGGCCCGACTCGACAGAAGGAGCCTTTCTCCTCAACAGCGGCGGTCGCGACATGCCACCTGTGCTGCTGTCACCGCATTGCCTCTTCGCCCAAGTTTCTCGCTGCTCCAACCCTCTCTTCTCACTCTCCTTTAGCAACCTGTCAATGCTCTCATCCTCTGCCTGTGCCATAGCCCTTGCTCCAACCATTGCACTGCCAGCCTCAACTTGCTTCAACCGACTTTCAACCTGACCTTGCTTCCACCTTGGGACGTTGTTTTGTAACTGTTGTGGCGTCATTGCTTATCCTTCTTCTTTCCTTTTCCTTTGCCTTTTCCTCCTCTGTCACCCTTCTCTCGTCCCTCCGGTGGATCAGGTCGGTTCTTTGTCTTGCCCCCATCTTTTCCGCCCATATTGTAGGGCCTTTGCACTGCACTTCTGTTGACTCAGCTGAGACCAGTTCTAACTGGCGCGCAACTGTCCAATGCGCTCCACGAGCTTTTTGTTCGAGAGCTTTGAAGCGCTGGGATAGCAGATCAACCGCTCTCGCAGGATGCCCCCGAAGGAGCAAGTCAGCCGTTTGGCTGATTGTCATCAACTCTTGCCCCATTGAGGGGGACACCATCTGATGAAGCTCTGCACGGTAGTACTGCGTGTAGAGGGGAGGCAAAGAGCGGCGATCAGGGAGTGTAAGGTGCCGCTACTGGTCAGCAACGATTCCTTCATTCCCGCGATCGTCTGGGCCCCCAGGCATCCCGGGTAGCGAAGGGTCAGACGCAAAGCTCGCTTCTTCTCGGCGAACAACCCTTCTCCGGTTTCAGCCAGCTCGTCCTCTTCCGTTGATGAACTCCCGGATGTAGAGTCCTCACTCGAGGAATGCTTCCTCTTCTTTCCCTCCTTTTTTCCCAGCTTGCGCGCCCTTCTCATCAGCTTGGAGCGCTCCTCAACTCGGGGGTCCAAGCATGTTCCCCCAAATAAGGTCTTCAGACTCTTTTGGCCCTTCTCTTGCAACGGCTCCTCACCACTGTCATCCTTCACCTGCTCAACCTCCTTAAGCTTCTTCTCTCTGTCCTTTGCCTTCTTTTTCTTTTTCTTCTTCTCCTTCTCCCCCTCATCACTGGGAGACTCTTTCTCCCCTACCATTGCTCCTTTGCGGGCAGCGTAGTGCTCTCTCAGCTTGGCCATCTCGTCGATCTCTTTTGGCGCGGCCTCCACTGCCTCGAAAAGCGTATGCCACGGCTGCTTCTTCTCTCCTACCTCCCAAAAACCCGAGGCGTGGAGCACATCTGGCCCTGTTGCAGTATGCGGACAATCCTTCGGACAAATGTGCAACTGCATCGTCCTTCGGGCCGGATCGCTCAGTACCTCCACCAGTTTCTCTGTCTGAGTGCCGGTCACCTGGAACTCGAGGTAGTCGGAGTCACGGCCCAAACCTGTGATATATCCAGCGACCTTCACAAGCCCATCATAGTAGTAACCGTAGGCCAATTCGACCAACCCCAAACAGCGCAACTGGGCTGCCGTGAGCTCAAGTAGGTACGTGAACTTGTCCGTCTTCAACTCCTCCTCCATCTTCGCTGCCGGCCGCTTCCTCGAGGGTGTACTGGCGGCAGGGCGACGGCGTACCGCCATCACCACCAACGGTTGTTGTACTTCTCCTGCTTCGCCCTCTTGGTGATGCCCTTATTCGTGGCGGTATGCCAACGGGGGTGACTGCTCCAAGGGATGGGGCCGATCCACCCACGGCCTCGACCTCTGCGAAGGGGTGGTCGACTGGGCTCACGGGTTGGCGCAGGGGGTGGATCTGGTGGTGGCCCTGGCGGCGTGTGAGGGCTTTTGGGCCTTGGCGGAGTAGGAAGCCGCTTTCGTTCCTTCCTCTTCGCGTCCCTCACTCTGGAACCCGTCACTGAGCTCCCCAGGCTGCTAGACCTCCTGCGCCTCTTCCTATCCTTCTTCTCCTTTTCTCTCCTTTTCTTCTCTTTCTTTTTTCTCCTTCGCCTCGATGAACTGCTGGTTGAGGAACTGCCCTTTTTCTTCTCTTCAGTGTCCTCCTTTTTGGGAGTAACCTTCAACTCCCTTTTGGGACTTCCAGCCTTCTCCTTGTCTTCCGGGGCGACCTCCTTCTTCGGCTCGGCCTTTTCCTTTGCTGCTAGTCCTTGGCTGGACGATCGATCGCGAAGAGCTCCTTGGGGCGGTTGACTAGGTCGAGGCACGACACGGGTCTGGCCTCCCCTCAACTGGCGGTGCCACCTGGGACTGCGACCTTGGCTGGACTGGTGGGGCTTTGGCTGGAGCTGGGGCTGCACTTGGAGCACTGTCTGAATGGCCTGGAGCTTCTCTTGGCGACTTGGGCAACTCACCTTTTGTAGTTTCCTTCCTCCTCAACGGGCTTCTCTCGCGGCCGCCTGCACTTTTGTGGTTGTGGGCTTTTTCTTCTTCTTCTTCTTCAAGTTCATTGACCTTAGCTACCCACTCTTCAAGGAGTGAAAAGCACCCCTGGACGAAGATGACCGCCTCCTCGTCCCTCTTGGGAGTCAGGATGTTCCGGATGGACACCTGTAGCTGCCAGAGCTTGCGACACGGAGCGCAAGTGGCCAGCCCTGACTCCCTTACCACGAAGTGCTGGCAACGGTCGCAAACTGGGAGGGAGTCGCGATGACTCCCTCCCATCAACTCACCCTTTCTGAGCCCGATGCTACGGTGAAAAAGAACTGACTCTGTGCTTAAATATGGGGATATTAATCCATATATATAAGGGACATCGCTACTAGGAGCAAAGGGCATCGCTACTAGGAGCAAGGACGCTATTTCTGGGCTCCTGGCCTTACTACTAGGAGCAAGAAGCTATTAGAAACAAGAAGCTATACAGAGGACCATCAGTTTACTATTAGTTTTTACAGAGAGGACCATCAGTCCACTTGCCACTGATGTCCAGGCCACTGAGCACTTTCCCGATGGGCCAGCTGTTCGTCCAGGGAGAGAAAAGCTCCTGTGGAGGCCATGGCTAGCAGGTTGGAGGCCATCGGTAGCAGGTTGGAGCGAATGACTCATCCCCACACGAAGCGCAAACCGCGCAGACCGAGATTCCCACCGCGGAGTCCTTTGGTGAGAAGTTAGGGATTTCCAACATGCATTGAGTTGGAATTGAGTTACTATAGTGACCTGGAAGCATGCAACCATTGTGCAACCTGGGACAAGGATGTTCCTGTGAAAGGAATTTGCAAAACACCTAGAAGCCAAGTCCTCAAAACAGGGCCGCCCCAAATTCCAGTAGCGTTCTTGCTCCTAGTAGTAAGGCCAGGAGCCCAGAAATAGCGTCCTTGCTCCTAGTAGCGATGCACTTGTTTCTAATAGCTTCTTGTTACTACTAGTAAGGCGCTTGTTACTAGAAGCGATGCACTTGTTCCTAGTAGCATCCTCTCGTGACAAGGTTCGATTCACCTCTTCACTGCGGTGCCGTGACCAGCTCCTCGTCTGCGACATCCTGCAACTCGGGCAGCCAATTCCTGGAGGACGGAACATTGGCATGGCAGCTCACAAGGAAACGCAGGACCATGATGGCATGACTATCTTTACTGCTTCTTTTGTGTACAAACTCACCCCAGAATCCCCGCCCTGCCCCGCCGTGCCCAGCCTCACGTAGTCACTGACCTCTGGGCGTTGCATGGCCAGGTCGTAGTAGCGGGTGCCACCTACTCGGTTACGCTTCGCCTCGTTGGTAGGGACCACGCCTCATGTGGTGCAGTGTGAGGCGTCACGACAACGGTGGAGTGGAGCTGCTCTTTTGGACACAAGGGGGAAAAAAAAGAAAACAAACTAGAAGAAACTCCATGCGGTTGTTAGTCGTCTTTGGATGAATCCCCAAGCCCAACGACAGTCATCCCTCCAGGACATGTCTGGAGGAGTGTGCACCGGACAATCGGACCAGTAGCACTCGCACATACAATTGCATCGTACTAGCATGGTGCAACCTTTCCAGGGCTAGAATTCTGTAGTGGTAACAGGTGCCACGCTAGTAGGAACAAGTGCCTTACTAGTAGTAACAAGAAGCTACTAGGAACAAGTGCCTTACTACTAGGAACAAGAATGCTAGTAGTTATTTTGCCGGGCAAAATGAGGAGCAAGGAGCCTCATCTCGACCTTGGGGGATGTTCGATTCACACAACAGGGTGATTTTGGCATCGCAAGTACGTTGGAGGCCATCGCTAGTAGTAACAAGGGCATCGCTACTAGTAGCAAGGACACTACTCGTAGCTCCTGGCATTACTACTACTTGAGAGAGGAAGGGGGTGAACGAAAGGTACCGCAGCACTGCGTGTGGAGAGAAACCGCCTACCTAGCTTAAAACCATTGATATTGCGTGAAAGGTTGTATGGGAGAAACGAACTTGTGTGTTTGGATCAGCCAAGTTTGTGGCCACTTTGAAGCTTACATAGCTTAACACCATCGATATTTACAGGGTTTTGTGCCGGGAAGGCGCACAAAACCGTGTAAATACCGTGGTTTTTTACAATTTTGAAGCCTCCGAAAGCCGAAAAACCCCTTTCCGACACAATCTTTCCTGGCTTTGGGTCATTTTTCGGCAATTTTTCAAAACCGAGACACGTCAAAAACCATCAGTTTTTATGAGGTTTTTTGCCGAACAGCCACATAAAGCCCTGTAAATTGCATGGTTTGAGGCCATGCTTGAAGACAGGAGGAGCTGAAACCACTGGTATTTACGGTGTTTTATAGCCGTCGATCCAGAGGCGCACCACGGTTGTGTGCTGGGAAAGCGCAGAAAACCATGTAAATACCATCGTTTTCTGCCGGGAAGGTGCACAAAACCGTGTAAATACCATAGTTTTGTGCAATTTTGAAGCCTCCAAAAGCCTCAAAAACCCTTTCCGACAAAATCTTTCCTGGTTTTTGGCAATTTTTCGGTCATTTTTCAACCCGAGACGCATCAAAAACCATCGGTATTTACAGTGTTTTTTGCCGGACAGCCACAAAAAACGCTGTAAATTGCATGGTTTTCGGCCACTGTTGAGGACTGGAAGAGCTGAAAACACGGGTATTTACGGTGTTTTCGAGCCGTTGACCCCGCCTGGCGCGCCAGGGTGGAGTTGAAAGGGGGGCGGCCCCCCCCCGGCCAGCAAACGAGTATGTCGGGGGCCAGGCTCCACTCCGGGTACAATACATTTTTGCTAAAGCAAAAGGAAAACTCAGGTAGCGTAACCGCTACCTTTCGTGAGTAGCAAGAAGTTACGAGGAACAAGAAACTACTAGGGGCTCCTGGCATCGCTACGAACGGAGCGATCGGACGCTAGTAGTAGAGTGGATCCAAAGGAATCTCTCTTGCTTCCTTTTTGCAATGTGAAAGGTCATCGGCCTTCAACCACTCGCAGCCATCCGACTGCTCTGGGTACTTCTGATCACCCTGGTCTTTTGTGTTTGTCTTAGCTGTTTGGTGACAGGAACCCCAACGCTAAATATTTGTGCAATGATGAAACAGACCCTTTACCTTCTGTTTTTCTTATTCATTCTTCATCTCTTTTGTTTCTAGGAGCAAGAATGCTACTAGTAGCTCCAGCCATTACTTACTACTAACAAGAAGCTACTAGTAACAAAGGGCATCGCTACCAGGAGCTCTCCTTTGTCACTGGACACCGACTCGTCTGGCACCGTGGCACCGCGCCTGCAGAGCGAGCCCATTGGCCCCAGTTGCTGTGCACGTCGTAATCCACGAGCGTCGCCTCTCGCGCTCCACGTGGTAGTTGTACTAGTTGACATGTTGAATATCTAAGGAGCTTATGAATAACATCGCTCTTGGGTTGGAGGCCATCGCTCTTACGTTCGAGGCCATCGCAAGTAGAGTGGAGACCATCGCTAGTAGGGTGGAGGCCATCGCAGTTGGATCTTTTCTGATGCTAAGGACACCTCGGTGAACTGGTAGAAACAAAATATCGACAAGATCACCTGCGGACTGTTCCCTTACTTGGGTACCCAAGCAAGGCACTTTGTATGCAGCGTCCGCAGTCTGCCCACAAAATCCCCAAACCAAATGAATAGTGCGAGGGCTTCTTCAAGGCAACTCCCACATCCCTCAGGCAGCTCGCTTGAAGAAGCCTGAGCTTTCCTGCGTCCAGGTAGTTACTAGCTTCTGGGTCGCTTCGTAGCTTACTTTAGCTTCTTCCTTCCTTCCTTGCTTGCTTCCTTGCTTGCTTAGTCAGCACCTCAAGATCTACCCCCCTTTGAAAAAAGGAAAGCAAATACCGCCGTACCTCGAACCAGTCCGCGCCCACGCGCCAGTCGATCTGCAAGTCTTCGATGAGAAAAGCCGCCGCGAACTGCCTCGCAAACACAGCAGTTGCTGCGGGGTAGGCTGTCGAGTGGTTGAGGTTGGCAGGGCTTGGCTGTGACACACGTGGGGAAAGGATGAGGGTTCATGTCATGAGGGTTCATGAGTTCATGTTGATTTCTGTTTTGCTTGGGCCTCAAGAAACATGCATCTCTCCTCTATCCCAGAGATATTGGAGACGTCCCAAGTCGAAGCATGATTCATTCCGTGCCAAGCCCCTGTGATGCTGGCAAATGTTGAGTTGAAACTGCATGGTCATGCTTTGGTGAGCAGTTTAGTGTGAACCATGCCAAAAGATTTGGTATGATTGTCACTCTACCGGTTGATTGAAGACATTTGGGACTTGTACGTGTGTGCAAGGACCCAGCTAAAGTGGGCAAATGCTTGGACTTCCTTAGGGTGGAGGCAATCCTTGGTAGGGTGGAGGCCATCGCTGGTAGGTTGGAGGCCATCGCTAGTAGGTTGGAGGCCTTCGGTGGTAGGGTGGAGGCCATTTCTTCCTAAGTAGTCGCTTACTTGTGGCTACTAGCACCTAACTTCTACTAGCTGCCTACCTCTATCTAACCTACCTCACCTCTTCTAGCGGCCTAACCCCGCCGGGCTAAAAAACAACTAGACGACGGGTGGCCCGAGAGCGAGACATGTGATTGTCCAGCACTGTGGAAAAGATATATAGAAAGAGAGAAAGAAAGGATGGACGTGAAGGAGTGACAGTGTGGATGTGCAGGTGCGATACAGATGTGTAGATGTATGGAGGTGGAGAGGTAGATCTGTGGATGCGAGCGTGCGAAGATGTAAACGGACAGAGGCGAGAGAAACGATATGTCTTAGGTTCGTAAGAAGCCAGTCTCACTTCAAACGGCTCAAAACAAGTCAGTCCCATTTCAAGAAAAAACGGAGTAAAACGTAAGCAGGTCGATGCGATCCCGTCCCAACTCTTGCAAACTATCACGAAGCCATTCCGCTCCCCTGTTCCTGCCATTGTTGCGGAACTCCTCCCATCGCATACACTCGGACGAGCGCCGTGACTGGTCCATTCTCCCGCACAATCCCTTCAAACAGTCACCGCATTACTCTGACGCGCGTCCCAGGTACGCGACTCGAACCAAAAGCTTGTTCCGCAACTCAAATTCTTCAATTGCTCCACAGAAAACCGTGAACAAACCCCTCGATCGTGCGAGCGAGGTGATTGACAAACAATTCCAAGTTAGCCGACAGTTCACATCGACTGGTCCCAGACCCATGACCTCTGGCTGCAAATTAAAATATGAAGCGAAAAGATGTGTAGAAAGAGAGAAGGAGAGGGCGGAGGTGAAGGAGTGACAGTGCAGATGTGCAGGTGTGATATAGATGCGCAGCTGTGTGGAGGTGGAAAGGCACATATGCAGATGTGAGCATGTCAAGATACTCTCGTGGAACACTCTCTCTGGGACGCTCTTTTGGGACACTCTTGGTCTACATTGCTCGCCATCCACACACACGATCTCCCAGAGAGTTGCCCACGCGCAGGACAAATCACGCTCTCGCCTGCAATTCGCGTACGAGACTTCCTCCAAAAGCGAGGCGCCAAGTCTCCAAAACGAACGTTTCGTACGAGACTTCCTCCAAAAGTGGAGCGCGACCAATCCAAAACGCACTCTCACCTGCATTTCGCGCGCTCGACACGCACGATCTTCGCAAAGGGTTGCGCCGGACCGGGACAGATCGCACTCTCGCCTGCATTTCGCGCCCTCGACATGCACGATCTCCTCAGAGGGTTGCCCGCGACCGGAACAAATCGCACTCTCGTACTACATT